GTGACAGGTCACTCAACACTTGGCAGTTTGAGATTGCAAAGATTGATTCTATCATTTGAGGTCATTGTTATGTGACAGGGTTAATGGGTTTGTGGTAAGCACACCTTGTTTATTTTTTGGATAAGAAAAACTTGTATGTATGTGTGTGTATATGTATGTGTGTATATTTTTAGGATGGAGTTCAGAGAGTCTGTTTAACATAACTGATGTCAGATTTGATAATTTTTTTTTTAAGGAAGAATGTGATTCATTTCAGAAATAAAAGTTAAGGCCCTCCTTGTTGTCTTCTTGGCATTATGTAATGTGACCTAAATAAAACTGTTGCCAGGGCTTTTCTTTTAAGATCAACAAGTTGTTCAAGGAAATCAGTACCTGTATGTGTCTATGTGAGACGTTCAGGAGTTATTTTTGCTTCAGACAATTGATGTCAACACAGTACAAGCATGTAACAGTCATGAAGTCATGTGCTGGTTTTATGAATGACTCTCCTCACTTCTGTCAGCGTTGTGACTGTCACAAGCTCACTGTTGGAATACTTCCTCCTTCCTCCTTTTTGCTCTCACTCTGCCTCGTCTTTCTTTCAAATGCCTTTCAGTCTATCTCAGATGTTTTTGCATTTCTGTCTTCTATGACCTTTCCTCTCATTTTCTAAAGCTTAATTCTGGTTTCCACTCTATCAACCTTCAATTTTGAGCCGCCTTTTCTCCATTAACATTCCTATTTTGTTGTTCTCTGCTTCTGTTCTTTGTCTCTGTTTCACCCCTGCCCATGTTGTCTTTATTTTGGCTCTTTTGTCTTTTCCTCACTTTAGGAAATATTTTTCTCTGTTTGCTGTTGCTCTGTCTTTTCTTTGCCGTCGTTGTAACTTTCTTTCCCGTGTTTATTCCTTCCTCGCATCTCTCATTCTGTGTTTTCCCTCTGTTAAAACAAAGGGAGCAGTGAACTTGGTGTCAAATTATGCAAATCTCTTCTCGGGTGATCTGAAAACAACGCGTTATCTTATTTTTATAATTGTAGCACCCGTATTTGGCCAGAAAGTGAAGAGGATCATGTAACTTGCGAACAACGTCATGTTTTGTTTTAAAAAGTTAAATTAGTTAATGGTAGTTGCAAAAAGGGCCTTTGAGAGATTATTACTCAAGGATTTTTTTCTCATTGGAAGAATGTAGTGTCAACCAAAACATACAATGATGAACAAAAGCTGAACACCTGGAAAAACAGCAATGTCAAATTTATAAATAAACTACTCATGAACAGCAGTAGTCCAATTGCAAGGAGGCATGTGACAGCCCGGAAGGACCGCCTGATGTATAATCTCATGACAGGTCCGACAAAACTGCGCATGCAAGTAACTACCACACTGCACATAGATTGAATCTTTTATAACTTGACTTGTACATCTTCATGTCTGGCACCTAGGTACCAAAGCAAATTCCAAATTCGCTTAAAAACTACTTGGCAATAAAGCTGTTTTTGAATGTGACTCTGAGCTGAACAACGATCCAGCCCCGTACAATGCAATTTGAGCTCATTAAGTAGGCCAGGCAGGCATTACGTCATCCATTTAGCATTCAGACTGGGTAAGAGGTTGGGCCTCCCCTCATTTAGGAGCCAGAAGGACAAAATGTTTTTGTTTTTTTGGAAAGGGATCAAACATTCACTTCCATTAACTGTTTTTCTTGTCTTACAAAAGAGCTGAAGAATGACAACAGAACAGCCATTCACCAGTCAGGTAGTATCTTAATTAGGGCTGAACACTTAATTGAAATTCTTATCGAAATTGCGGGAGGTGCAATATTTGTTAAAGGCAAAATGTGTCAAAATGCCATTTTAAATTAGATATAGGCAAGCTGCAGAGAGATCCTGGTCTACACATCATGTTCCACTGCAAAAACATCTTCGTTTGGAAAAGATCCTTGCAAAAACCTCACTCACTCATTCACTAATCTTAGTAATGTTCAACTTTCTCAAACACTGGTTGGATGAACTATGCTGAGTGATTCAATAATTTGCAAGCACATCCCTGTACTGGTCTAAAATTAATTATGGACTACTGTCTGCTTGTCACCATCACCTTGTGTACCCAGTTACAATTAAATGTAAAACCCCATGTTTGGACAAATTTGAATGTTGCAGCTATAGCAAGAGACCATTGGAGATTTCTCACAGTGGTGGCTCTTTGTTATTCCCCTCTCTTTGGATTGAATGCTGTAGATGTTTCCATGCAGAAAAAGTGAGGCCGTCCATTGTACAATTTTTCCTATGAGTCCCCAAACAAGTTACTCTTGTATGATTGCCTCCAGGACCCATCTGATAAATGCCTTTGATTCGACAACTTAACACTGCAGCAGGCTGCCAGCACACGACTCCCTGCTCCCCTGCAAGACTGAATCCTTTTGCCTCCAAGAATGCTGGTCATAGTTTGACACCAGTGTTTGGTAAACAGTAGCTCACATGCATGGCAATGTACACATAAACTTTCTCTCTGTCATACACACAGAAACACACACCAACACAAAGGTATTCCCTGCCCTGTCAAGGCACACTGACCAACAATTGAAATGCTTTTTTTGAATGTGAGCTTGTGTGTGCTATTTTGTTGGCAAGTGAGATGGACTTAACTGTTCCTTTTCCACCACTCCCCATCAACCCATTTACTATAAACACTTGTGTTTAGGGACACTCCCTGCTCTCCAATAAAAAAGGCTATATTTAGGTTGAGCCCTGTGTCTATTTGCCCGACCCATCTCTCCGTCAAATCAGACAGGAATCCTGGACTCTCTATCTGTCGGTTCAATCTCCTGTCAACTTTTATAGCTCCTACTAAATCAACCAGGGGACAGAGTTTCCCCAGAAGCAGAGGGGATTGCCAGAGTCCTGTGAACTATCACAGCTTACCTAGTAACAGCCACTGGCTGCAAGGCTGCAAGTAGAAACAGCTTTACTGTTGAACAGTGTTTCCTGATAACTATAAATTGTATAATTTTTTTTTTTACAATAGCTATGTTTCCATCTAATTGTCAAGCACATTTTAAGCGAATTTTTGAAATGTTGCAAAAAAGAAAATGCAAATTCGGCACATTTCCATCAGCTGGTTTGGAGCAAATAATCCAGGCTACACAAAGCATAGTTATGTCAGAAGTTGACGTTGCACATGGCTCTAATAAACAAGAAGTAGAGGTTGCAAACCAGAAACAGAACCGGGAAATCTAGGAAAAATGGAGAGATGTCTTCAGAAATGTGTTACAAGTGGGCAGTTTGCTAACAGCCATGATTCCGTGCATTATGGAAATATCCCGGAAGATGCCGACAGCGGAAACAGCTGATCAGGCATGTGAGATAAATGTTCGCTACATCAGAACTTATTCAGCAAAGGTTTTTCCATCTCCCATTCAGCAAGTTAACTATTTTTCGAAAAAGACAAAAACTAAAGAAAAGGATTTTTAGAATTTTGCTGTTTCCATCAACCTTCTCTAATTTGATACTCCAAAATGCGCATAAAAAAAAACACTGACAGAAACACAACTAATGACTCAACTGAAGTTGCATCAAGAGCAGTGACCTCTCCTTTTTCCACCTGAGCCCTGCTCACTTCAAACTAGTGAGAAGAGCAAAAATAAAACGCACAAATACAGAAATCTCTTTAAACCTGAACTTTGTCAGAAAACTGGGTGCTCGTGTAGGATCCCATTGCCCATAGTAAGAAGCTGATAATATAAGTTAGTTAAAGAAATCCTCTAGTAGTCTATTTTAAAAATGTATTATTGTTGAGAACAGCTTTTGGACAGACAATGGATGATGCAGGGGCTTTTCACTCTGTAGAATAAGGCTCATTGCCTTGAGCCAAAGTACTGTGTGACTGAATGTGTAACTGTATGAGTGTAAAGCAGGAGGCCTGCAAACAAATTATGTTTAAGCATAGGCAAATATTTCCAGGGTTAGTGGGTAATATTGCATTACATATCTTTGCTATATTGGATAAAGTCAGCTAAGTTGTGGAGTGGGTAGTAGGTGGCCTTGGCATATCTTTGTTGCTCCCTACTGGTTGAGATATGAGATGGGTGAATGGCATGGAGTCTCAGCTATGCCCACTGGGAGGAATGACCGCTTAAAGATATTATATAGAGAGATATATATAAATTTTTTATTTGCAAGTAAATTATTTCTACTTTTTCAATCCTGCTTACAAAATAGCCAGTTCTCTGGCCATTTACATCTGGCAGGTACCTTGTTATTAACACAAAGTATCAGCTTTAAAGGGAAGTCAGAGTCAGTGTACTGGTCTTTGAGTACCACTGCATATTTGAGAGAAGCATGTACTATAAAGCCATATGTGGATGATGCTGCAAGAAATCTGATAAATACCATTAAACTTTTTTAGCTAAGCTCCTCATCTCTGCTCGAGACTACTACATTAGCCACTACTAGCATAACACCGTAATACAGATCTTTAACTTAGCTGTCAGTGGTAGAGTTGCATTGTGGGTAAAGTAGGCACCAGGGTTTGACAAGGGAAAATAATGACTTCGATTTGTTAAATCTCAAGTAGTCAGGTTTTTAATATACACAGTTCTTTATTCTGCAGTTAACAGTAGAACTGCAATTGGATATCGGAGATCCTACCCTGACCAAAGCCATGTAGGAGGTTGTTCAAAGTTTTCTGTAGCAAAAAGAGTTTTTATTCTTTGTTGTTAAGACAAAGTAAATAATTGTGTTTGTTGTTTGTTACTGAAGCATGACCTCAATGTCTCTAATGTGCAAATTTCCTGGAAGAAACATTTAAAATGTGTGAAAAATGTTTAAAGAATATGCAAGATGTTTCTTCACTTTTCCCACTCTGTTTCATCTCCCAGATCTCTGCCACTTAATCATTTTATTTGTACTAATCATTTTTTGGCTCCCTCTGACTTTCCATCCTCTTTTCTGCTTTGTCACTTTGCTTCACCTGTCTTCAATTCATTTGATCCCTCTCACCTCTGTCCGTTCTTCTTTCCATCTAGCTGGCCAATCCCCCAGCTGGAGCCCAGTCAGATCAGGCTGATAGTGTACCAGGACTGTGAGAGGCGCGGCAGAAATGTCCTCTTCGACTCCAGTGCCAAAAAGAGGGGCACGGAGGAAACCCCCATCACCGTGAGTCACAAGTTTGTTTTGTGTGCGTGTGTGTTGGCATGGAAGCCCTTCCTTGGTTTTGTAGATGGTAACGAAAAGACACTGTTTGTTCCAAGTCTTGTTGTAATATCAGGGCTTAGCTGATGCAGTATAGTAGTTGTAGGTCCTAATTTAAAAGTCTGAAACTTTGAAAGATTCCCCTGATTTCCTCCTTTCTTAACTGCCCAGTTATTATACTTATTAATTATAACTATTCATTCACAGGTACTGTTAGTGTTTTTGTTTTTGTTTAATTCAATCTTGGGTAGCATTTAAAAGGTTTTAAAAGTTGGCCAACCCCTTGACCTTCAAAGCTTACAGGCAGTCAGAATAGATGAGCAAAGATAAGAGAGTGGAGAGACAGGCACAAACAAAGAGCTTCAGAGAGAACTGAGCCATGACATGCAACAGAAGCCATGTGACTGTTTTCAAAATTCTATTCAGCTGTTTAAGAAAAACTTAATGAATGCTTGTTACTACTGTATGTGAAGTTTTATTTTCTCTGCTGTTTCTCAAACAAAAGGTCCGTACTTCTTATGTCTCAATGGATGGCGAATAGTCTTATGATCAATTTTCTTTGTCAAACTGGTTATTTGTGTAGTCAATGAGTGCATGAGACTCAGCTTTGATTGTCAACACACCCATTTCAGTTAGTGAGGCATGATGATAAGAAGCGTTACACTACAGTGTAGCAGTCTTTATCAGTGGGTGTGCAACAAATTTCAAACATGTCCATTATGCCAGCTCTGGGTGTCTGGCCTCTCCTTTATTGCACCTGCCAGCTGATTTTTTTTTTTTTTTTTTTTTTTTTCCCCAGCAAGATGCACGGTCACCACTCTTTTTCCTTTTTTTTATTTTTATTTTTTATTTTTTTGTCTTTGAATAACAAGCATAATATTTTCATAAAGCTGCTGTGTGTCCCTGACTGACCCTGACCGCTTGTTCTAGTCCTCTTATCTCTAATAATAATAGCCTCAGCAATAACAGCCCATGGCATTCCTTTATCCTCACATGACTGCCATGTCACTCGCTGTCTGTCTGACCTGCTCTGGTCTCACCCTCACTAAACTATCCTATGATTCTGTATCTTCCGTCTCTAAATGTGCAGTCTACTCTGTCTGTCTTTCCGTCTCTCTTAATACTGTCTTACTACTTTATTACTGTCCTCCGCTTCTGTACATTATTCTGGTTTGCTCCATCTTTCCTACATTATCACTAAAATCTTTTATAAATTACTCTCTACCTTTTTTTCTTTACCTGTCTGCCCTTCTTCCTACTCTCTCTATCCAGCCATTTCTAATCCTCTTTCACTCTTTAAATTCTCTCTACCCCCTCTCTAACTCTGCCCTTTCTTTGTTTTAGTTTTTCTCCCTGCCATACTGAACCTCTCTTCATAGTTTTCTCACTCTGCACGCTGTCCCTCCTGTCTGTCTTTGTCTCTCACCTTGCCTCTTCTGCCTCCATCTCACCTGCCTGTTTCACCCATCTTTTGGCTCCCTCTTTGGCCTGTGTCTTTCTCTACTGACTAGGGGGGGGCTGGGGTCAATTTTTGGTGCATTCTGCATCGTTAGGGCTTTGCCAGCTACTTTGTGACTTCTATCACATGATGGCTGTTTTTTTTGTCAAGTCAGAGGAATGTATTTTACAGAGTTCAAGAGCAAAGCACAGAGGGTCGGAAAGAATGAGGAATAAGAGTTAATAATGAATAAAAGAAAACGGGGTGGGGTGCTACACAAAAATGCGAGAAAAGAGTGCTAGAGAAGAAGACAAATCTGGTCCAGGAAAGAAAGGGATGTATTCCAGGAGGAAAAAAAACACTGCAGGAATTAAAGAGGGATGAAGTTGGGAGTGGTGGAGGAAGGGAGAGGGAGAGAGGGGGAGGGAGGGAATGATTGCAGTGCGGCTCGATCACGAGTTCCCGAAAGAGTCATATGACTGGCAGTCACATGCTGCTGGCCTCTGTGTACACACCTCTCACTGCACTGCAGCGGACGCACACGTACACACTGAAACAGACACTCAGCTGGGCTTCATTAGCGTGTGTGTGTGTGTGTGTGTGTGCTACAAAATCACTCATAATAATTAGAGGTAATAAACAATGTACAAAGCAAGTTGCATACATGTCTACAGCGTTTACTAATGTACACTAAAAGAGCAGAATGAAGCAAATCTAATGTCGCTTCCTCTGCCTGTTTTCCTTCTCATTCTGTTTCTTTTTGTCTCATATTTTCCCTTCTCTTCTCTTCCTCTCTTACATTGAAAGCAACAGTGGTGTCAAGTGAGCCATTACCAGAGCCTAGCTAAAGTGCGCGCACACACACACTCGCTCCCTCCCTCCACATCCCACCCTCCCAAATGCATTCCTCTTGAATAGGCTGCCAAGTTAAGAAGGCACATGACACAGGCTGATGGAGCTCACATTGCTTTTAGTTTGCTGTTTACACGAGTGCCTCTGGATTGGGTTTCTGTGGTTTTTGACTCAAACAATTCAACTTCATTGATGTTTTTAGTAAATGTTTAATTGATACGGGCCAGTGGCTTTTTATATTTGGGATTGTTCAAATGTCAGGGCATTAGGGTGAAATTAGACAGAGAATGTGACTCTTTGTAGGTGAATTGTGCTCCCAGTGCGTTTCTCTCATTAAGTTTATAAGAACTGAATACCATTGCAGTAAAATCCTCTTGACTTGTCTTTTCCCATGTGTACGGGCTGTTCCCCCATTAATGGGCACACACTTTTTTAATGATGAAATGATGGATGTGGTATGCTTTGTAGTTGTTCAGTTGTTTGTTTATATCTTTAATTGCTGTAAATGAAGCAGCAAAAAGTGGTGCTTTTTCATCATTAAGTTAAACTCTATAAGCGTGTGTGTGTGTGTGTGTGTGTGTGTATAAGTGAATTGAGTCTTTTGTTTTTACCCCATTAGAGCACCGAGGGCCAGGTGAAGATGTTCGGGAAATGCTGCCAGCTCCGTCCTACAGGAGGCAGTAGCAGTTCCCTGGACAGCTCCTCCTCCTCCTGCACATCCGAAACCAAGGAAACCAAGGAGCAGGGCATGCGCTTCCAGGTGATGCATACCTGACACTTGCTGTTATGCATGCCCATAGATGCACAGACACATAAGCAGGCATATGCACATGTAAACTGACATCCAGGTTCAGTAGTTGTAACCTTGTTAGACAAGAAAATCTTCAGTTCACTCTGGAATTCTTTTCTTTTGAAGGTAACAATATTAAAAATGTGTGCTTCTCCTCTGTTGTCCTCACCAGGGTTCGAGGTGTTCGTCCGATGTAGTAATGCTGGGAGAAATGATGTTTGGTTCTGTGGCCATGAGCTATAAGGGTTCCACGCTAAAAATCCACCAGATTAGGTAAGAAGAACAAGGGTTGCATCAATGGCTTTTTCCTCACAGCTAATACTGGCAAAAAAAAAATCCTTGGACCAAGAGTTATTGTTTTGTTTTTCCATTTAATATGGAGATGAAACCTATTTTAGTGGAAAAGCCATAATAATAAAATTTTCTTTGGCGTTTTAAATGGCTTTTCGTACTGGATTTTGTTCAAATTTTGTGTGAATAGAGTAAGTGAAAGAAAGAGGAACGAAAGAAAGAAACAAGTTTGTGTGAACTGATGTGAAGAGATAAATAAGGTTACATACAAAAGACATGCCAACGTGCACAAGCACATGAATTGAGCACACATGCTGATGATCTTTGTCCCTGCGCTGTCGTCTTATCAGATCGCCACCTCAGCTGATGCTGAGTAAGGTCTTCACCGCCAGGACGGGAGGCAGTGTGTACGGCAGCCTCAACACGTAAGGATATACATGCATATCAACACACAACACACCCACTTTTCGCTCTGATTCCTATGGCAGCTACTTCCATAAGCCAGCACATGCAGATACGCTCTCATCTCATCTTTCTCTTCTCCCCCTCTCCATCTGTCTCAGTTAGGCTATCATCTGCATTCCTTATATTTATGTCAACCCAGGACAATGTCTCACTGTCTGTCTCTGTTTCTCAATGTCTTTCAGTCTCTGTTTTCTGTCTTTCTATATATAAAGTAGTATTTAGTTTTTCCTCTAAATTGGCCTACACATTCTGTCTCTTTTAATTTCAGTCAACAGCAGTGTATACTCTTGTTATGGGTACATGTTTTGAAATCATCCACATAAACCGAACTTCTTGTTTTTCTGTTTCATCTTCCGCAGGTTACAGGACAGTCTGGAGTTCATCGGACAGGACAGCAACACCCTAAGGCCTGATCAAAACATTGGGGCCAGCAGTCTCTTAGGGAACATAGGTAACCACAGAAACCCAGTGCCAAACCAAACCTTCTTAAGACACCAATGCCAGTCCTCCTGTTTTCTTTCAGTTAACTTGTAGATTGTAAGTAGCAAATGGGTGAAATGGTTTTTTTGTTTGTTTTGATCATAGACACTAAGTGTCACTAAGTGTAGTTACTTTCTTCTTGCAAGGACAGTATTCAGTCAGTCTCATTTAGTTTCTAATGTTGCCTCAGTAACTGTTGTTGCTTATAACTCCCTTAGAGAATAACCTCCAAACTGCTTTATGGTGGAATATGTGACTGTATGAAATATTACAGCTTTTCACAGTTAAAGTGCGCTGGTAGAACTGCGAGGAAGCAGCTGATTTTTGTTTCTCTCTTTCCAACCCTTTTAACATTCCTGTTTGAATACAAACCAGGCTGTATAGACTTTGCCAACAGCTCTCCCTTACTGCTCCACTACACCTTTTAAACTGGCCGTGCAAGCGCGGCTTTTCTCAGCAAATTAGCAGAATCAACTGTTATCCTATCAAACACTCGTGGCAGCATATCTCTGCTGTGACTCATCTGGTGCTTCCCTGAAACTCATGATGATTCCACAAACTGCTACAAGTCTGCCTTGGACTATGACACTCTCCCAGTAGAAAGAAGAAGAATATAAAGAACTGTTGGCAAATTCTATCTCTTGTGGATTTTCCTCTGTCATCCTCACAGAAAGGACAAAAATGATCAGCAGATGTAAAGCATAATTTATTTGTTTGATTAGCTGTGTTTTCTGTGAGTGATTCCAGCTTTATTTGTCTGCCTGTCTGACTGACCTACCATTTGATTGTCATGGTCATTATTTCATTCCAGACTAAAAAGCTCCTGTTACTCAGTTGTTAACTACCAGCTGGTCAGAGGACAGGAGGCAGTCAGCTTTCCTCCTAACTCATTCACTAACCGTGGTTCATGTTTTTTTGTCTTTTTTTCCCCCCCTCTTCCTCCCTTTCTTCTTCTCCATATTTTTGTTTGTGCTGCGCAGGATTTTCTCAGCTCTGCAGCCCTCGACGGGCCTTCTCTGAACAGGGCCCTCTGCGGCTCATCAAGAGCGCATCTTTCTTTTCAGGTTGGCGCTTAAAACTGGCCACGACTGACATGTGTCAGTTGCATGCGTGCGTGTGTGTGGGCTGTAGTTGCGGTGGTAGTGGTCATATAGGCCTTGACTTTCAGCGGCTGCATGCCTGTGAGGTGATTCTTGCACTACAAGGGGGTAGCATTAGTCATAGCATGCAGTATCACAGCACGTCTGCGAATGACTTGGGTCAGATAGAAGCTGCATTATATCTGGTTCATTTGGGCAGTTGAGAATATTTGCATTAAAAATACAGATAGCACCAAATAACTGTGACGATTCAGTTCTTTGCCCTGCTTTTAGACATCCCCACCATTAAATGAGCTACATGTGACTTAAAATTGGCAATAAACCTAAACAACCCAAACTGCCACTTAGTAAATCACAGGGGGATACGTATGGCTTTAAACACCTTCAGTTCCTTTGTTTTGCTAATGGCAGTGTCAAATAAGACCGCTTCCCCTGTCGGCCATAAAGTTCAAACAAATCATAAAATATATTTGCCAGTACTATCTGACCCAGGCCTGCAGGTGTACGCACGCAGAAGTGGTATGCATGGGTTCTCACTGGTGTCGGTGGCTGTAGTTCTAGTTGACGTTTTGTGTTCTTCACTCACATACTTTCACTAACTTTACTGTCACAGTGTGCGTGATACTTGGGCAATGATTTAAGCTTTTATGTGCCATTTAACCATAAGCTAAGACAACATCTTCAGTATTCTGCCAGTATTTAGTGGACTGTTATATTGCAAGCTTTTGTTTTCTTTCCTTTTAATGATGCTGTGAATATTGCCTGAGAATGCATGTACACATTCAGGGACACGCTTACTCACATTCATACAGTTACACAGTTTGCTGTGGACCGCTGAGCAGCTGGTGGTGAAATGCCTTGTTCAAGGGCACCTTTTGAGTAGTTGTTGAAGGAAAGGTTAAAGGTATTTCATATTCCTCATTCTCTGCTGCCCAGGTAATAAAACAAGTAATATTTCAGTCACAATCCCGCTTCCTAAAATGCTGTGCACATTATGGCTGGGCACTGTGGGGAATCCTCTGACATGTGTGATATCATACCTGTAACATAACATCCACTTCATTGTCCATGTATCACCACTGTAAAGCAATTAACTGATTTCTCTCCTGATGAGCTGGAACTGTAAGTACCTATTTGTGCATTTGGTAGACAGAACAATCCACATAGCTGCACAACGTATTTAAAGCAAATGTACTGCATACGTGAATGCAAGTGGTCTGGGTGGAAACAATACAGAGAATTGCAGGCCTTATGTGTACTGTACAGTGCCAGAAACCGTAATTAAGGCAAAGGAAAAGGACACAAAGTTGTGAACATATGAGAGAGATGGGGAATCGGAAGAGTTGTGAGCCAGGGAGGAAACCGACACATCAGTAGGCTGAACGGAGATGATATGCGCACAGCTTTGACCATGTCAGCTGGCTCACCTTTATCATTGGGACTAAAGCCAAAATACTGCCACGGCATTTTTTTAGTTTAGTCCTGTAGCATCATCCCCACCAGTAGCAGACAACTCGCTCCTTTTTGTGTGCGTAGTGAGTGTGTTGCTGAGAGAGAGAAAGAGTCAGGTGAATGCAGTGTAGAAGAGGAAAGGGGTAAGCAGTGAAGTAAGATTACAGTTTGTCAGTGAATAAAGGCTGCAGCTAATGCTCCCATTTGTGACTTGTTAACCAGCTTCTTAAAGAGCGAAGGGGCCTTGTTGAGTTGTCGATTTTGTCAAGCAGTTTCATGCACCATTGCCTACATACACTGATGGCATACAGTACAATACTTCAGCTCAATACAGCAACTCTCTATCAGTTTAATAGGAAGAGGAGCATCTGTGTTTTTGACTGTATTGAAAGTCATGCTGTCAGGATTTCTAAATACCCATGTGTACCGTGATACCACCAAAGTCTAATTCCTCCCTCCCTCCTTCCTATCATTGGGGGGTAGAACCTCTACCCTTGCTGTGGTGAAGTGGTGCTGAGTTTTAGATAATGAGCCTCTCCCTGTGTCATGCTGCATACCCACAATCCTGTTTAGGGCAACCTTAGGTTGGCATGGCATGGCATGTAGCTCTGTCAGTTATGCAATTTTGGTATGTGCTTTAGGAACGCATGTACGTGCACACATAAACAATCAGACGCTTTGCAAAAAAGCTCATGTTGACTAGCTCATTAATCATCTCAGCTGCACATTGGAATACTGAATTTTGTGGTTTTCACACCTCATTGCTGTGAGAAGCATTGACATTATTCCCATTTTTATCCCGAAGTGTTGACGATGAAGGACATTTGAGAAGAGCGAACATGCTCGTAACACCCATCACATGGTGTCTCAGAAAATTACATCAAAGCTGTAGCAGCTGCAGTAGATAGTGACAGAAAGTGAGTCAGTGAGCAACAGCTCATTACAACAGTAGTTGTTTTTGCTGTATTTGTTTTGCTTGTGTCGTTGGTCTTAAAAAACAAAGGTTGCGCTAACGACATAACAATCAATCCGTAACAGCAATTTCACAGTAGACGTTAGTCCAACACCTGCTTGTGCTAGGAGGCTTTATTGTGATGACCTCACTTGTAGGAGTTGTGTGGTTCTAACCATGGTTCAGGCCACCAGACCATGGGTATTTTGTTTTTAATGTTTAATTCTGAGAGCCATTAAAGAGCCATTTTCATCCTAATCTATACTGTGTGTACTTTTTTGGGGAACCATTACACATGGTGATGCAGTCACTGGCTGGGCAATAGCAAGAAAATCTCAGTATTTTTTTTTTCCTGGTTGCAAGTCCCACAGTTGTATGTAGTAGAAAGAATAATGACAGTTCTTACGGACAAATTGAGATTTTGCTGTTATGGCTTGGACATGTATGTTGAGGACATGAAGCATCCAAAAGCATAGTATGTATTTGTTTGGGGAGATAAGAGCATCACCAGAATGCTTGGTTCTCCATTTTGCTTGTTACATTTTCTGTTTCTCACTGATGTTTCCTGATATCTCCTTTTTTTTTTTGTCACCCCTCTCTTGCTTTCTTTATATCACCAATTTTTTCTTCCCCTTCTCTTAACCCTTTTCCTTTACCCTTAACCTAAACGCTTCATTTACACTCTCCATCTTCCTCCTCCCTTTCTCTAGGCCACAGTCACCCCATGGACATGCCAGGCCGAGGGCTTTACGATGAGAGAGACAGCGGCATCGCCAGGTCAGGTAGGTTAATATGACTAGGAGCCAAAGCCTGGATTGACCTACGTTCAGTACAGCTTTCAGCCCTGCAGTTGAGCTTTGAATTGGGTTTGCATTTATTCTGGTCAAGACCTGGGTCAAAATGGTTGCCCTGCTTTTAACTGTTCAAGGTCAAGAGCGTGAACACAACTTACACAAGCACTGGTTAATTTAACTGATGGTGCTTAAGCTGCAACTTGTCAAATGTGGTATGCAGACTCGCATGTGCACAGTTGTTTGTGTTGTGTATATGGAAAGAAAGCGATTGAAAGGTAAAGATGTGCAGGCTAAGAGAGACAAAACATAACTGACCTATGTGGAGGTGTTTATATGGCTTTTAGGGTCTGGAAAACCTTGTGTAATGTAAACTGCCCCCTACCCCCTTTACCCCCACCCCCTTTCCAAACACCACCATGCGCCACTGGCATGAATGGTATGAGGGGAATTGCTCTTTCTGCTCAAACCTGCATCACATGCAGAGGATTAAATATAGCAGCTCTCAAAACCCGCTACTAGTAAAAGAGCTTCTAATTCAAGCCTCACCCTCTCATCTCCACTCTCCCCACCTCCCCTCTGCGCTTGGGCTGGAGAGCATTTTATCTAACTCTGACACACAAAAATACATAAACGACCCCCTGTGACTCAAAATCTCCACCCGTCTACCTCTCTCGTCTTACTATAGCTCCTCTGCTACGTGTACAACTCTCCAGCGCAGTTTTCTCTTCACACGTCATACACACGGTCATTCACTCATCTCCTTAAGTTATCTCTCTTTATATCTTCACGCACACAGAGGATCACACACTGTGTAAATGGTACATGTGACCATTGAACGGAGCTGTCTGCATGGGCTGTAAATAACCCTGTGATCAGTGCTTGTATTGCATTCTGTTGTGCGTGTGTGTGGTTGGCGGGGGGGGGGGGCTGTCATTACCCTGACAGCCTGGTGTAAAGCCAGGATGTCCAAAAACTGCAGCATGTGACTGTTAGCAGGCTAACCGAGATTAGATCTCATATGAAAGCTATCCAGTAATTAGGGCCTGTGTTTTATGGAAAGGGGTGTGTGTGTGTGTGTCTGTCTATCTTTGTGTCTTGTGTGCTGTATTTTTTTTTCAAGTTCTTTGTCTTTGTAAGAACAGTTAGTGTCCTTTTTAGATTTGTGTGTGTGTGTTTTTTTTGGTCTATCTTTGTGTCTTGTGTGCTGTATTTTATTTTTCAAGTTCTTTGTCTTTGTAAGAAAAGTTAGTGTCCTTTTTAGGTGTGTGTGTGTGTGTGTGTACAAAGTCTCGTTCAGAATGAGTAACCCTACGCACTTGTTGTCTGACTCACTCTTGTCCTTTTTCTATTCTGTCACCCATCATTCCCTCCATCTGTTCCATATTCCCTTCTGTTCTTGTCCTCATTCTTACTCCTCCTCAATCCACCTCCAATTCTTCTCTCTATCCCTCTGTCGGTCCCTGCAGCTTCTCTGAGCAGCCTGCTGATCACTCCCTTCCCATCTCCTGGCTCCTCTCTGACTAGCAGCTGTGCATCCAGCTACCAGCGCCGATGGCTCCGCAGCCAAACCACCAGCCTGGAAAATGGCGTCTTCCCCCGCTGGTGAGACACATACAATCATACATACCCAAACACTTGTGCAAGGCACACATTCCGGCGCATTTTATACAGACAAGCATGCTTATAAATAAAGAAACTTGCCCGTGTTGACTGTAGGTGCAGCGAACAACAACAATAAAGAGGGAGTCGAGTCATGCACACAGAGTAGTTTAAGTGACGCTTAAACTAGAGGGGGACAAATGTTGAAGATCCATGATCTTTTCTGCACAACTTTCTAAACACACACTTAACAGAGTCTCTCTCAATCCCTAACCCCCCCCCCCCCCCCCCCCCCTCCCTTTTTCTTCCCTGTTCAGGGCTTCTGCCAGGCTTTTGTTAAGTTTATCCTGCTAGGACTTCCTCAGAATCTAGCAGGCAGCTGGGAAAATGACACACACTGCTACTATGCACTAATAACTGCACACACGCACACACACTCAGTGCTGTGACTAGACAGGATGCTGTGTTGGCCTGTCACTGTAAATGCAGCTGTCGGCCTCTGAGTGCTCTAATCTTCTAGGCGCTCAAGTTCAGCAGCACCAAAGCATCTTGTTTACCAGCTGCAACAGTAAAAAAAAGACTAGGATTAAAAGTCTCTTGATATGTTTTTTTTAACAGATGTGCCCGTTTTCCGCTTATGTTTTGAAACTTTCAAGAGCACTTTCAAAGTACTAGGTAGATTTATCATTTTATGACACAGGATTGTATAATGAAATGAAGTTGTAGTTTCCATTATGCTACTCACAAAAAGCCAAAGTTATATGCAACAATTGTATGGGTTGCAAAATAACAAGTAATAGAAATAAAAATATTGTACATGGTGGAGTGCTGAGGATGAATATGGGAGTCTCACAGCCTGCTCTGAAGGCTGGTGGTACGACAGCCGATACTTCTTTGCCGGGCGGCAGCAGGGTGAAACAGGCTGTGGCTGGGGTGGGTACTGTCTTTCAGAATCCTTTCGGCTCTGCACAGGCACCTCACCTTACCTCATCGATATCACTGATGCTCTGTAGATTGGTACTACTGGTAATCATCAAACCTGTAGTTAACTGGTATTGTGCAAAAGTACAAGAAAGACACTTAGTATAAGAGGCCCTAAGCACTATTCTAACTTTTTTATGTGAGGTAGTATGTAAGGAAAGACATGACTTTATTGATCTTCATGTGCAAAAGTACTAAGAATCAGATTTACATGTCGAGTACACATTTGGAAGTTTGAGCAGCTGCACACACATTTTAGCCTCTGGAAGTTTTACTGGATCTGCCTCTTCTCTGAAGTTCACTTCCTGTGTACCCTGTCCCGATCAGGTCAGTTGAGGAGAGCTTCAATATGTCTGACGAAAGCGGTGGACCAAGCCTCGGCGTGGCTCGGAAGAAGAAGATTGCCATTGGGGTCATCTTCACGCTGTCCCCCAACTCTGAGGAGAACAACCGCTTCCAGGAATTCTTTTTCTCCCACTTCCCTCTCTTTGAAAGCCACATGAACAAACTCAAGAGCAACATCGAACAGGTGAATGAATGTATTATAGACCAACCACATGTTGTATTTGGCAAGAGTCTAATTTCTTCTTGATTCCCCTTTTTTGATGTGGACATTAATGTTATTTACTTAGGATTATTGTTTTGATCTGTTAGAGGTTTGTTTCTCTATGCTTTTCAGTGGGAGGTGCTTTTATATTCTTGATCACCTCCCTGATTGACACAAGACATATTCAGTGAAATCCACTTAGCATCAAGATATGAGGGGTTCCCCAATGCAAACCTTACACTCTTTGCTGTTGTAATGAATAGAGATCGACTGGTTAAATGGTCATAACTTGTATATCTGCGGTCTTGTTTACTGGTGTCTGTTGTTGGCACTGTCAAAGCTCTGGATGACTTCCAGTTTTACGGTCCATCTTCCCTTCTGCCCCACCTCCCTCTGTTCTCCCTCACAAATCCCCTGATTAATTTTTCCTGTAACTTTGTTTGTCATCTTGAGTGCCAAATATCTCAAAGCGTATGTATGTTGTGTCACTCTCAAGGCCATGAAGATGAGTCGGCGGTCAGCTGATGCCAGCCAGAGGGCCCTGGCTTACAACCGAATGGTGGACGGACTTAATGAGTTCAGGTTGGTCAACAGCTCACATTCACTCACCACGGCACAGACAATAATCTTGCATCCTTTATTTTTTCCGTATTTCTCTTGTGACACAAACAATAAGTCTTTTGTTGAAAACACCTGACAACATAGTTAATAACATGCTTTTAACAAGATTATCCTGCAATATAACACGAGCATTCAGCAATATAAAATAAATTAGAACAATATGTTTTACATTGGACAAAAACACCCAATCACTGTCAGTCACTCACAGTTTAAGCCAGTCTTTACTGCATGTTTATTAGCAACTCAAACACTGAAGCCAACGTCACAGTGTCATTCAGTTTCTATGTACTGTGGCCAAATACAAATTCTCTCCCTGGGTACATAGCAAGGTCTCCGCATCATGGAGACATATGTGAAATTTAAACTTCCTGTTTCCAGGAAATGGATGATACACTTACAAGACATATCTTGTATTTAGATTACAGATCACTGCACCATTAAATCGGACACCAGAGCATGATCTGCAGCGTTTATCATTAATTTTTCCATATCCGATTTTTCCAAATCGTCATCGCACATCATGAGACATTTGCAAACTGTCTGATTTACAAAATTTTGTTTCCTGGGAGTGAGAGAATGCAGGCACTAGGAGAAGGATGCAAGAAAAGCCAGTGTGACAGAATGAGAAAGGAGAGGTAAAGGACCTGTAAGTACTGCTGGTCTGGGGAAGGAAGGAAAAATAGGCATGAAACTAAGCTTATCACACATTATAGATGAAAGACACAATCGGTGTCATATCTTCAAGATTTTCTTTTAACTGTTGTTTTTTACTTTACAAGTAGGATTTGTCAGAATTATGACTTCTTCCAGGCTTCTTGAATTTCTTCCAGTCACAAAACTTGTCACATGACAAATTTCCAAATAAAGTTCATCCTTATCTAAACTGCGTAGCAGACATACATAGTCTTGTTGAATTACTGTCACATGCACCAGTAACAAACTAATTAAACTAAGTAATCTGAGTAAGCAAACAAAATAATATTGCTCAAAGTAGGTCACCAAGTGCTCATACTTATCCTGTGTTACTCATGTTATGGCACTAACATTTGGGCAGCTTTAATGACCTGAGAAGTATTTTGCACATGCCTTTCCAAGCATAGTTTGTTTATGCTAGTGGGTTTACCAGGCATCATTTAGAGTTTCTTTTCCTAAAGTATATCAAACAGGCAGTAAACTGGCTTTTTGCTGATTAACAGCTAATATTCACCAGCTGCTGTGGCGTGCAGACAAAGAAAGCATCTCATCTATCAGCAGAGACATTTTTAGCATTTAATGTTTCGTATTTGAGACAATGGTCACATTGTGTTGATATAGGGCTTGGAGATATGGTCAAAAATGTTATCATGATTAAAACATTTCATATCATTCGATATCAATAATTATCACGATATATATCTCTCTCTCATGGGTGGAATTTTTAGAAACCAGATGGTTAATTATTTGGTTAAACTTGTCTTCATGGTCAGAACATGACAAACACTTGATGCCAAACAGTGGACCACTTCACAAATCTGAGGTAGAACAATCAAAACTATTATGATGAAATCTTTTTCAACAAATATGATTAGTAAATCCGTTTTCAGTCCCACTCCTCAACAAAATAAATATCTTCATAGAAAAATTAAGTGCTAATTTGTTTGTGATTCAAATGAATTAAACCAGATATTTATTGACGATATATTGAACATTTATTATATTTTTATTGAGGAATATTATATTGCGATAGTTGTTTATTATTATTGTATTATATTATTATTGTTTTATTGCCCAGCCCTATGTTGATATATAATTGCCATAAACGTATCCTGAAATGTAACATGCGTCTTTTGGTATAATTTTTAATTTAAAATATTGAATTGAATGTTGTTTATGATTGCTAAAATTATAAAAGAGGAAGAAAAGGGGCTGTGTTAGCATAGGCTGCATGAAAACTGTCAGTGAGTGTTTAGTCTCTGTACAGAGGTTAGGCGAAGGGATTATGTAATTCTGCTCTAGTTACTGATGGAGCGTGCTGAGGTGTCACAGCAATCAATTAGTAATTAATAAATACTTTGCATTATGCTATCCTTACACATACCACAAACAGTCTGCCCTTCTTCTTATGTTCTTTTTCTGTTCCCTTAAATGATAAATATTAATATGTATACTAAGTCCAGTAAGAGATGTTGAAATAGGTTGGGTGAAATAAAGGAGGAACATACTGTTTCGTACCTGTCTTGAGCAAACCATAGATGTTGCATTGTAATGGCAGTGCATGCTGGGACTTCAGGGTTTTGGTTGTGTTTAGGGAAGCTTTTTTGACCAATGTTTTAGAAGCTTCCAGTTACTTCTCAGCTCTGCACCACTACTACCCTGTAGTTGTATTTAATCTTTATTGGTGATGACATTGCTGCAGTCATATGACTGTTGGCAGCCGGCCACAGCAACCCAAGCCTCTTGAGTGGCAACCCTATCTACCTCAGACACTGGCCACGAGCACCAGAATAGTAAATAATATGTGAGTGCCAGCAGGAGAAAGGCTAATGCCCGGGACAAACAAAATATCTGTAAAATCTCACCTTCAGACAGCAGCTAAATATAAGTGTAGCCACCTTTGCCATTAAGGGCAACGACTTCATGGAACATTACAGAAGGAACCTGGAAGAAATGCTTTTTGCTTGTTGCTGCTTTGACGTAGTTGGAGGGTGGGCATGCACAAATACTCACGCATGCTGATACAGATAAGCTGCGCACTTAGCAGAGGCATGTGTACATAAAAGTGACACCATCCTATATTGGGGTTAAGTTAGGGTTTGCAGTCTGAGTACAAGCAGCTCTGAGAGAAGCAAAACCACTTAACACACCAGGGTTAGGAGTCTAATTCTGATTTTACCACATACATAAAAATAGTGCACTTATCCTTCCCGGAAGCACCTTGGGTAAAGTATGCACCAAATGGCACAAACTGTGGGACCATACAGCCTGGTAATTGCTTCAGAGTTGTAACTTTCATGCACGACATCTTGCTTTTTGAGGCCTATCATAAAGTGAACTGAAACAAAAGCAAAAAACTCCCTCAAAAAAAGTCACTGAACAGCAGTTAAAATCCACCCTGCACAATTTTATATTGAGGAAAACTTTATAATACACATCTGAATCTGAGTGGTAAATCAGACCTAGGGACACATTTATTATGACTCCGAAATGTTGCTTGCATGATGGTGTTCTGATGCTAAAAATGCAGTTTTACCCTGAACTGCTATTGATTAGTAATTGGAACCATAACTGTTAAGCTATAACTTGCAAATATGTCAGAGCCATGTATGAGATTAAAAATGTCTAAATTGCTGCCCTCCATTGTGAGATCATTTAAATCTGGCTATTTAGCCTGTACATCAGTTTAATATCACATCACAGCCGTGCTCTTTAAAATTCACCTGAACAGCTGCTGCAGAGAGGCTGAGACTAGATCTCCTGCTCATCTAGCGCTGGCTCTGCCTCAGAGCTGTGCCCGCTGAGGGGCTTTCAGTCAGTGAATGTACACCAGACACAGCAGTGAAGAGGGGCTTAAAAAGGCCACGAGTAAGTCGACCTGTTTATAACACAGGAATGAATAAAGCATTATTAGCTCATTTGATGCTGCAGTCCAAATGACTGATCATCCTTGCTGACAACGAGATGTAAAGAGAGTGGGGACTTGTTTTTTGTTGGGTTGAGTTACAAGTGACATCAAGTCCATTCTGATTTACCCTGCTGTGACCACTCAGTACTCAGTTTTTTAATGATTCATCAGTGATCTATTTATTTTTATCAAGAATTTATAATCAGTGAAGCTCAGATGATCTAATGCAGCGACCATTCTATGCTCCTCCTTGCTACCGTTCTGCTGATGTTAATCTTAAGAGGACAGGTTTAGAGTTGGAGCACTTCTCAAAAAACTTCTTGCAACATCTATATCGCAAATGCAGTTAAATTCATTAGTTCTTCTTTTCACACCCCATTGATAACTTCTTCTTATTAACCCTTAAACAAAGACAACACCTGCTCTTCCTGAATTCTTTGGAAAAATACATCAACCTAAAATAGCTTGATTACTGGAATAGTGGAGATCTAGTGAAGGTCACTGTCAGAGAACTGTCACTGTGTGACACCTGTGCTTTCTCTCAGCGTGCAGCCAGTCTGCATCTCCTCTGTCACTGGGTTCTTTATAGGTCAGAGAGGTTGGGAGTTTATGGCAGATTTAACCTTGTTTATAGCCAGAGATCTCCCGCAGTTTCCTGTAAGACTAAATCAAGCTTGGAAAACAATACCGAGTTTTTATTCCTTGTCAGTAGGATCTGCAAAGTCTTGTGACAGATCACCTGACGCGATAGCAGCTGGTTATGTTTATTAAACTTAACTTGTACAGATCACTGCCTGGCGACGCTGTTGTATTATCAGTGTTTGCTGAAGATTGCAATATGGAATCGGTTGATATGTTTGCAAGGAAGCCGAGTAAGCAGATAAAACCGTCAGAAGCACCTCATCCTCTAATAAACACTGACATCTCTTCTTTGATTATATGTACAGTTTTGCATTTTCAAACCCAGAATCCAGCAGCTACAGTCCATATTTCACCATTGACTTAAAACGCCTGAGTCTCCACATTCCTCGGGCTGCAGAGATTCCCTTCTGCCCCTGTGTCAAAGCTTGGCCTCCGGCCGAGACATGCTCACCAACACGACCCACGTTCTATGGAAACTCCAGTCCTTCTCAATGGACAAATGCCCCGGCCGAGCCACATACAGATAAATATACACACAAGAATGCATGCACACTGTACTGAGCAGGAGACAGGGTTTTGTGTGAGTGTGCGCAAGTTTGTCATTGGACTGTTACAAACACACAACCAGGGTCTCCCATGGCCTCAGTGCAGACAGCGAAGCTCTGTGAGCTGAGATCTCTTTTGTTTACCCCAAGAGACAATAACGTGACTGTTCTCTCTCTTTTCCCCTCCTTCCCTTTAATTCCCTCTCTCCATGCCCTCTCCCTCTTTCATCCCTCCTTCCCTCGCTGTACCTCATCTCCAGGATGACCATCTGCGACCTCTACACCATGCCCCGCGTGGCTGAGCCCGTCTGGTTGACCATGATGTCTGGGGCGTCTGAGAAGAACCAGCTCTGCGGCCACTTCATGAGGGAGCTGTCTCTGCTAATGGAGCAGGCCTCCAAGAACCAGTTGAGTGTCTTCTTGTACTCTCACCTGGTCCAAGATCAGTCTCTGAATTTCTGTGAATGCAGGAGTTTAAGAGGCGGCATCCCAAGCAGGGATCAAGTGAACTATATCAAAATGCATATTGTCATATCACACAGTGGGTTTCGGCAGTTAGGGTCACAGCATGACTGGAAAAAACATGCACAGTAGCACTAGACATTAAGAAATGTTACATATGCATCATCTTTCCTCATCTTTTATTTGCGTGTACTTCCTGGACGAGCGTATCGGCAGAGAAACAGATGCAGGTTCATACAGACTATTCATTCTCTCTCTCCCCCATACATTCTGTGGTTAATCTCTCTCTTTCTTACACACATTCACACTGTGAGTGTTGCACCCTCTTTGCATTTATTTGTCTGCCTCAGAGGGAGCTGTGAATGAGACAATCCCTACCAGTCTCTAATTGCTTATTGTTGCTGTTACAAAGCCATGTCAAACCACTGCTAATTGTACATATATGAATTGGTAGCAAGGCCTTTATTGAACATAGCACCCGGATTCAGTACAGCTGTTTCAAGTAGCATTCAGTTCACTGAACTGAATTATTACATCAAGTTGATCTTAAAGGACCAGAATAGTTGCCAACAATTTTTAAAGATGTGAGTGTTTTTCGTCTTAATCTCTTAATCACTGACTGACATAGTGGAGATTAAGTCTGTATCTACTGCTTTCATGCTCTTGTAAATACTAGGGCTGCAACTAATAATTTTCATTACGAAATTACTCTAATGCACATTACAAGAGCCAAACGTGATGTCTTTAACCTCCCTTCAATGTGTTTTTGTGTGAACAGTTCATAACCAAAATATCTTTATTTCACAAAGTCTTTCTTTATACACCAGTACTAGTACACAGGACAATAAAAGCAAGAGCAAAAATCCAACTATTAAGATAAGAAAATGTCATCAAACAAGCATTAAATAAAATACAAGAGATAAAGGCCAAGTTAACAGGAACAGAAATATTCAATAGTGTACGTGAATTAAATAAAGGTGATCCATCTTTACTGTACCTGCTGACATTTATTATAGAAAATGTATAAAATACAGAAATGTAACAAAAGCACACAAGCTGGTAACAAAATACTTGGTATTTTTCAGTGATAAATGACTTGGTGATCAAGATGTTTCTGGCACCAGCAACAAATAGTTGTTTAAAAATAAAAACTCTGTATTTAACACAAGCAACGTATGAGCAACAGAAAATCCATGTAAAAAAACATCACCCTGCCAAATAGTTGGATTAGAATTGTTTTAAGATAATGAAGATAAGAAATTGTGTTTTTTTTATTTTGTTTTTTAACATCCGTACCATACTACATGGTCCAATGTAGTTTCTCATGTTTATTTAAATCCCTTCACAGTTTCTAAATGTTGACCATGGATAGAAGTTGAATCTCCTAGGCAACCACTGGTGTTTCTCTGTCAGCACTGCTTCTCAGTGAAAGTCACTATTTCCACCAGCACTGGTTTGGGTGACTGCCACGCAACTACTTGTATGTAATGTTGACTCGTGAATAAAGCATTGCGTTTCCCTGGCAACCACTCGTGTTCCTGTATCACATTATAATATTTCTGAGGCGTCCCGTCAGTGTTCCCATGACCGACTGTGTTGATGACTGCTGCAGTCACATCTGCATACTTGCACGTGATTGAACTTGACTACCCATGACAGTGTTTAGTCATGAGACAGGAAGGGAAGTAGACACTTGTGGTTAGGAATGAGAAGTGAATCTTGCTAATAGGATGTGTGTGTGTGTGTGCGCGTGTGTGTGCGTGCGCGTGTGTGTGCGTGCGCATGTCATTTATGTGTGTATTTGCATATGCCTGTGAATGTGCGTGTTTCAAACAATGGATGTGTGTATGTGGTGTCCAGTTAAGCAAGAAAGTGACCACAGTTTTGAACAAGGTCATGGTGGGGAAACTGATAAACAAAGTAATTTCTGGATTCCAGGATTGAGACGGGATAGGGATTTTTTTTTTTTTTTACTCTGTCATGTGATTAAGACTGGACAGGAGTGAAAATCTGCCAGGAAGTAAATTTTTGCATTCTTCTCTATGCTCTACTGACCAAACCATGTCTGATATTGCAGATTCCTCCCTGCGTTATTGACAGCTGTCCTGACCAATCATCTGGCCTGGGTGCCCACCGTCATGCCCAATGGGCAGCCTCCAATCAAAATCTTCCTTGAGAAACACTCCTCCAAGAGCGTCGACATGCTGGCAAAGACGCACCCTTACAACCCGCTCTGGGCACAGCTAGGTGAGGCAGTCAAACACAAATGTATACACAAAGAGTGAGTTGGACGTACCATTGTTTTCTCTCAAAGCACCTGGGTGGCTGGGGAAGGAATTGATCCTAACCTGCTATTGTTAATTATTAAAGCACAAAGACAAATTAGGACTAGACTATCTTCTCTCTCGCCTCTCTGCAACTCTTTTAAGTCTTGAATCTGTATTCGCTATTTGTGCAATTCACGTTCAAATCATCTGTGTAGCAGCATGAAAGTGACGATTTCAGGTGTGATGCAGTTTTCAAATTAAGATGCAATAATACTGCAGCTGCAAAATTGATTGATGAGAAGTGCAAACATCACATGGTCTTCCAGTGGAGCACATTGTATTAGTGGAAATCCATAAAGGCTTCCTGTGGGGAGGGGGAAAAAAAAAAAAAGTCAGATGTGTAGCTGTGGTTGATTTATAGGCACATATATTGTGCAAGTATGTCCTAATAAATATACAGACTTCTTTAGGATTATGTTGTCCACACTTTCACCTCATGTGACATGGGAAACATATAGAAAGTGAGTTCATGGTGACACCTAGTGCTCATATCTAAGAACTGCATACCAGAGCATTAATTTGTCGAACGAGACAAATTAATGCTCTGAGAAGAAATGGAGGTAAGAGGAGATAAACCAGAATGGCAATGTCAGATCTTTTCTGAGATGAATGGTGTATGTATAACTAATAATTGTTTTTTGGGGATGAGTAATTTGCACTTTTTCTAACAAACGCATTTAAATTTTATTTCCAGATCTTACAAATGATTAGACAGACACTACCTGTAAAAAGAAAGTGATGCATCTAAAGACTCGGTCAGCGATGCTAATGGTTGTTGTTTTTTTGGTTGTTTCGCTGTGCGTAGGCGACCTGTATGGGTCCATTGGATCACCGGTGCGCCTGTCGAGGACAGTGGTCATCGGCCGCAGACAGGAGCTGGTCCAGAGACTCCTCTATGTCCTCACCTACTTCATCCGCTGCTCCGAACTGCTGGAGACCCACATGCTGGACAGCGCTGAAGATGAGGCTATTGTCATGCCTGGCTCCCTCATCACCACCTCCCTGAGGAAAGGAGAGGTGGAGGAGTCGGACTATGTCCTGGTTACCGTCCATAAACCCAGTGGGGACTACTTGTCCCATGGGGCCCACGGCCGGCCGACTGAGGCAGAGGACAACAGCTACCCTTCAGATAACAGTCTCCAGAGCAGCACGTACACAGACACAGAGGCAGAGCACTGCACCGGGGACACTCCCAATGAGGAAGATGAGGATGAGGCAGATGAGGAAGACGAGGAGGACAGCAGTGAGAGTCAAGGGTCCAGGAGCAGTGTGCTTCAGGCAGGAAACAGCCAGGGTAACAACTCCGTTATCAGGACTTCAGAAGCAGCTGAACCCGGGGGGCTACGCAGGCAGTCTAGCAGCCCATTGGCAACAGAGGCCCGACTAGAGACAGTGCTGCGTGTTGGCTCGGCCTCCTCCAGGGAGCAGGTCTGTGCGCTGGATCCGGAGACCAAAGGTGACCTGAAACTTATTGTCCCATCTATACCCACGACCCTGGCAAGTCCATCCCAAACTCCTGTCACCGCAGAGGGTAAAAGCTGGGAGGCTGGGATGGATGCAGACATGGGGAACCAGCCAACTGGAGTGTTGGCTCCTCGTCCATTGGGGTTCCCTCTAGAGAAGAAGCCCCCAGATAAGAACCTGGCTGCTGCAGTGCCAGTACCAGTGATACTGGGAAACACAGTGACGGGGCCCATGACTTTGACTCTAACAGAAGAGGAGGAGCCTGCAACAAAAGTCACTTTCCTCATTGGGGACTCCATGTCTCCTGAGTCGGACATAGAGAGCCGCAGAAGCAAGGTGGAGGAGGAATTCAAAAAGCACAAGAAACACCTCAAGGACAAACATCCGCTTCACCAGCAGCTGCTGCTGCATCAGCAAGAGCAGCATCATAAAGGACAACATTATCAACAGCAACCGCAGCAGCTGCAGAGAGGAGCGGATTCAAAGACCAGCAACACCAGAGCATCAGAGGACCAAATCAAACAGACCAAGGCCGCTCCAGCCCTGCAGCGGGTGTCCAGTAAGATGTCCCAGTGGAGCCCAAACTGTATGGACGATTTTGATGATTATTACAACCTGGATAACCCTGTAGAGACTAGAACTATAGACGATGTGGCCAAACGACAGCAGGCCAGCAGCACGGACACTATCCACAAAGACTTGCTGGACCCCTCGGGAGTCCCTCGGCCTGGTGACTTGGGGGTTCAGAGCTTTCAGGGTGCGGTCAGGGGTCAGGGTTTGGGTCTTTGTTTAGATTCAGGTAGTGGAGACGTAGGCTCCAGCAGGAAGAGAGATACTTTGTTGGATGTCCAGAGGAGGTGCAGGTGTGGATCTACAGATTCTTCCGACACCTGCTGCTGCAGGGGCTGTTCGGCTGCGCAGGACAAAGGTCTTCTGTTGTCAGTCCCTGTCCCCCAGGACGGAAGTAGCAACAGCAAAGTGGACCAAAAGTGCAAGGCGGTGCCCGTCAATGACTGGGAGATACCACGCAACGAGAGCTCAGACAGCGCGCTGGGGGACAGTGAGAGCGAGGAGACCGAGGACTGGCAGGAGGAAGTGCTGGTGCCCTTCCCTGGGTGAGTAGAGGACACATGCATTCACAGATGCACTTCTTGTCCACAACTTCGGTTGTAATCAGTACTAGTAATAACAATGGCAGGTAATAATTAAGAATAACAATATATCCTCATCGCTGAAAATTTTTTTAAATAACTACTGCCATACGTTTGATTTATAGGTCAAAGTTGGTGGAGAACTTCTCAAAGCCCAGCATTGCCAATTTTGGCCGGTCTCTGTTTGGAGGCTACTGCCCCACCTATGTGCCAGACTTTGTACTGCATGGGTTGCCCAGCGAGGAGAAGCTAAGGCAGAGCCTCATGGCTGAATTAACTCATGCTGTTCAGGTAAAGTACTAACGTTTTGTAATATATTATAATATATTACAAATATTTTAAACATGTTTCACTGTAAAACAAGTGATGCCTTTTATTAGGTTCTGCCATTTACCATCTTGTAGGAGTTTTAGGCTTTCATTCACTGGTTTAAATGATCTTTGTCCTCTTGTCCTGTAGCATCCAGTATTGGATGAACCCATAGCCGAGGCCGTCTGCATTATAGCGGACACAGACAAGTGGACAGTGCAGGTGGCCAGCAGTCAGAGACGAGCCACAGACGTGAACAAGCTGGGGAAGGAAGTCCTGGTGTCCAGCCTGGTTTCCAGCTTACTGCAGTCCACTCACCAGCTCTACAAACTCAACCTCTCACCCAACTTTGTATGTTGGTCAAGATGCTGTTTTGACCACTGACTACACATATTATATTTGTCTGTATACAGTAATCACCATGTTGATTCTTGTGCTCTACCAACCATGTTTCTCTCTCTCTCCTCAGTGTATAATGCACCTTGAGGACCGCCTGCAGGAAATCTACTTCAAGAGCAAGATGCTTGCTGAGTATTTGAAGGGCCAGACAAGAGTCCATGTGAAAGAACTGGGAATGGTCCTAGGGTAAGCAGTTAAACTTTGTTCTTAACTCAAAGGTGCTGTAAAGCTGTACCTAAAATTTAGGTTTTATTACTTCAAGGTTCCCTGTGGAGGTTTTGATCTAGTGGCGCTATGGAGATGCTTTTTTATGAGTGGGCCCCTGTCTAGTTTTTTTTTCTCATGCCCACACATGATGATGCACATATAATGGCACTGTGTGACGCAATTAACGGTTTCACTATTTTACTGATCAGCAGGTGGCAGTCATGCTCCAAAATGCACAGTGATGTGCCAGCAATGGCAAATAAGAGATTTTATAGACCAAGTGCAAGCTGAGCTATTCTGAAGCTAGAATTATCCATAAACTTTTTTTGTGTGACACAAAAATTTGAGTTTTAACTATAATTTTATGTATAATTTGATGTGTTCAATATTAAAAGAACCGCAAAAAAGTGCAGACTATAATTTCTGTATTTTCCTTTTATTTTAAGCGAGTCACTTAGATCTTATCACACCCTGATGTTTGTTCTGGTGTCTCTGCAGAATCGAGTCCAGCGACCTGCCCCTGTTGGCCGCAGTGGCCAGCACTCACTCCCCGTATGTGGCCCAGATCCTGCTATGAGACTGTAATAGTGAGCTGCCTGAGGAAACCAGACCCGGGTGGTGCCACTCTGGCCTCTCAAACGGCCGTCCATGCTCCGCAACTGACCCCCGACATGGTTTCTTGACCTGCGTACCTGGGCTAAGTGGGATCTTTGCTTGAGCTGAGCCTGAGCAGTGCACATCTTCATGGACCACAGCCCCCCCCTCACTACCACTGCTGCTGAATTTGTTGCAATGCTGATGTTGCACCACAGGGGGGAACTAGAGACCGCAGTCCTACAGATGGAGTGAGGCTCTGCGGATAACGGAAGTATCCCTGAAATGACCTTCTCCTGTTGTTTGAATGTTTCTTTTAAAACGGGACTCTTTTTATTTTTGGACACAGAAGCCAAAGACTTTTATTCTTCTTATTTTATTTTTCCAGTTGAGAAGGAAACTTTTAAGATATCTACAGTACAATAACAACAATGGATTTTGTTTCTTCTGCTGCTTTTTTTTTTTCTCAGTACAATCTTAAACTTAGTCATGTGAAGTGATGGACTAGAAGTTCAATGGAAACAGATTTTTACAAATTACTTTGAGGTAAATATCATCGAGAACATTATCAATCTTTTGCCAATTATGTTATTTCGTTTGTTATTTCGCTTATCGTCATGTATTTGTTTACAAGCCAAATTTCCCTGAGAGATCTTAATGAAAACTATTTTTTCTTCTTTTTTTGGGGGGTCAAATTGCAATGCACACCAGGCTTAAAAACCTTTATTCTGGCCACCGATGCACGCCGTGATTTATTGTTCTTTTGAAATGGCTAAAAGTGGCTTTGACATTCTTACCATAGGTACACCACTACCTCAGATGTTCATATGGGCAGAGGATGACACACATTTACAGTTGCCCCATAGAAAACCCTGAGGTATACTTTTTAAGATATTTTTATCAGAGGAATGTCAGTGTCAACTGTGTGCAGACTCTATGCTGTGTTCTTTCAAAAAAGGGAAGGCTGTTAAATTCCTTCGGATGATCGTTACACACACAAAAACATGGAACTGGTATTTTTGCTTCAGAATGTGATTTAAGGGAGGAGAAGGGGCCCTTTCTACTGTGGAAAAGCTAGAACATCCATCACTTATGTATATTTTAAAACCAAAATGCTGAAATATTTTCACACTTTTATAGCTTCCCCACCTTTATACGATGTTTACAGCTTCGATGTCTACTGCAGAGAGAGGAGTAGAGGAACACAGTAGGCCTTACAGTGGATTAAAATATATCAGTTAACACTATTTTCAAACATGTTTCTATGACGGTTATATACTCACAAAAACATGCAAAATACAAAACTATAGTGGCACAGTTTTTTTCCCATGACATTGACCGATACATTTTGGTTGTTTTGCCATATAACCAGGGTGCGATTTGCTAAGCGTAACGGGACGCTCTACTTGCTTTCACAACTTCTGATTTTTGATTCTCTCCAGGGTATAAAGTGTAACCTGCAGCGGGGCTGATGGGGAATTATTTCATTGTTTTCATTATTACTTTTTGATGAAAATAGACAAACAGAAAGTTTGACAGCATTGGAAAGAGAAGAAGAACATCAAACAAAAATATGTGCACAGTATTATTGTTGTACTGTGCTTTTAGCCAAGCAAGTTTACCTTGATGGCAAGGGGATTGCAGGTAGAGGGACAAAGTTTAATTTAGCCATCAGCCAGCTCAATAAAATCTCACCTTACTTTACTTTAAAGATTGGAATATGTCTCAGGCTTCTCAAAAGCTTATTGAAGGGCTTTAGGTACACAGTATGTTGAACAGTGTTGAGAGTTGTTTATATTGCTAGAAAAAGCAGGAATAATTGTCAGTGTGACCCTGAGAGCAGTGTTCGCTTCTTTCTATAAACTGAAATCGCACCCTGTATGTGACCCAAGTCTTAATGGAGATGTGGCATGAATGCATCACAGGCTTCTGGAGAGCTTGTTTTGCTCATAAAATTTATATATATAAATAAATGCTTGTTACTGTATTGAAGATGCTCTGCTGTATCAGCCTACATTTTGTACAACCCAGCCATTATGTTTTAAAAGGTATGAATTTATATCTGCTCTTCCCACTTTGTATATAAATAAGTTATTTAGTTGCCCATGGTATGTGTAATGTTCATGTAAACTGTACATACTCTTGTTTATTTCCATGTATTTGTACAGAATGTCTTTTAAGAACTGTCTCCTCAAATTATTTTTTTCCCAATTTTATGGGAATGTTGTGCAATAAAGATGCCGATGTTAAGAATGTATGCGTCTTTGGGAATGTTTTCAGTCACAGAATCAAAGGGAAGAGGGGAATCCTGGAAAAGTCACATTCATATCCATGGGAGGAAAGCCTTGGTAGTGTACAGACAATTGTATTACTCAGAGAGACTGTACAGTACATATGACCACATATTCTGGTTTGTACTTGTTTAGAAAGTGTTGTCATTAATGGCCTTGCCCTGCAGGTTTGTGTTTCTTCACATCTCAGATTAGCAGCTGTGGGTTCTACTTTCTTTTCCCACAAACGCTGAATAAACTGTCCCAACATTGTATTATTGTCAGGTGTGTGTGTGAACTGGTTTTAGGTTTGTGGGTAATCCCAGTTGTGAAGTCCATAGTTTCCTTTTTTCTTTCCCTCTAAAATGTACATACATTGCATATGCAGACTGATTTATCCATTTTTAACTTTTCATTGCTTTAGAATTGACTCATTTAAAAAAAAAAAAAAAAAAAAAAAAAAACAGACTGGAAGGTAGCTGTAATTCAGTGCCAAATATACAAGAATAGCACGTTTGATTGGTGGTGCCTTGACTCCTGATGTTCAACATCTGGATCACACATTTTTCACCCACCTTTGACTTTACCACAGTGAAACTGGGCTGCTGTGACTCCACCCTACCGTCCTCGCGGCACAGGATGTAAACCGAAACGAGCACACACCGCAGTTATGTAATAAAGGAAGGAGTTTCCCGGCTGAAAGCAAATACACTGGCAGTGACTCCGGTCAGTGAGAACATCGCTGTAATCCCACTTTCTTCACGTGAATTGTTATTTTAGGCAGCGATCGGGGGGGACGTGCTACAAAACAAACTGGTGGTTTCTACGTGCATTAAAAACTAAGAGAGGTGCGTTGAAACTGGTTATGTTTTTGCATCGCATGCCTTTACAGTACAAATAAAAAAGTCGAAAGCAGGGCGTGGCGTTGGATTTAGAAGACATGAAAGTTCTGAGCTTTTAAATGCACATCAGTAACCTGATTATTCCGCATTTTGAGCAGCACTCGTCTGGTAGCAATCTGATTTCAGAAGTGACAGAAGTCAGAGGGAGGATCTGTGCTGCATTAAAGGACTCCTTTCGAAGCTCGTACAGTCGAGCTCCAAAATCAGGAAAGGCAGCTATTACATGCCATTAAAGCCAGACTATATAACTTGATCGAAATAAACAGCATAAATTTGTCTTCCATGCTCTAATTCATAAGCAAAAAAAATGTACTCTTGTTCAACTCAGTACATGCAGGAATTTTTATTTTTAAACATTTTTATTCATTTAGCTGACGCTTTATCCAAAGTGACTTACAATTGCGATATATGTCAGAGGTCACACGTCTGGAGCAACTAGGGGTTAAGTGTCTTGCTCAGGGACACATGTGTGTCAGGTGGATGTGTCACAATGAGGACTTGAACCCGAGTCTTTCACGCCAAAGGTGTGTGTCTTTCCATCTATCCATTGCGTCATCACCACCCCATACTGCTGATCCAGCTTTAATAGGTCTGGTGTGACCGGTAGCTTTATGGTGGCTGATGTTAAGATAGATTGCTTGGTTACTGAAAACATTACAAAGTAAGGTCACTACGTTCATACATTAATTGTCACTTTCCAATCTTTTTCAAAAGTTTTTTTATTTTCTTGATTGCACCAGGTAACAGAACAAAACTGAATGAATGAGTCTATGCAGCCAACTTATACAACACACTGTTTGTTTAAGTCTTCTTTTATGGTAATAAAACGAAGGACAGACCAGGAAATAAGCCTCAACTAGGTCAAGAAAACAATTTTGATAAATCTTAAACTATTGTCTTAATCCAGCAAAATCTAATAATGTGCCACCCTTTGACAGTGTTGGAAATTTACCCTTACAATGTACCCTATTATATTAGTGTAACTATTTCAATTACTTTATCAAAATAATGTAACTTATTACATTTAATTACTTTTTGATTACTTTTTAAAATTTATTCGAAATGTTTTCAACTGTTAACCATTTTCAAAAGATAACTTGAGCGGCATTTTAACTAGCAGAGGGATGACGCAGCGAATTCAAACGTGAGAACCAATCAAAAGCATCAGAACAGCTTCAAACTTTACTAAACGGCCGAGGCTGGAAATGGCAAAGGAATACAATAGGATACACTGTGTGCATGAAAAACGTGCAAAGCAACAATATTAAAATGATCTAACATATAGAGTGGCTTTTTACAGAAAATATTCAGATGTAACCTCAAAAGTAATCATGAACATTTTAATTTTTTCCCAGTAACTGTACCATATTACACTGCCCTTGGATGGAAACATAAATCTAATAGTGATGTGCGGATCGATAATAAAATATTGATATTTCTGATTCCAACATTTCTTGCTCTAAGATCGCTACTCATATAAAAGGATCGATATCTAAACTCAGTAATTTGGAGTTAGTGTGTGTTTTATCATAAGTATCTTACTGTCAACAGGATGTTGTAATGATATGCGGTTGATAGGAACTACTTCTCCTTCCGTCTGTTAAAGTCTTGCTTGGCTATAGCTCCGTGACAGAGCTTCTTTGAAGTGAGCCATTTACATTTCCCACGATTGAAAACTGACTATGGATAACTGTAAAAGCAGTCACATCTGGCTGTGAAGGCAATAATGATGCTGTGTATGATGTGTGTGCAAAGACAGTAAAACACTTTGGCAACACCACACACTTTGCTAAACAGCTGAGATTAAGTGGAAATAATATGATGATGTTATTATAATGAAAGAATATGACAGTATGTCTTGTCATTATGCAGCTGCTATTTGGAATTGGAAAGCCTACTCTTTATTTCCCTCATAAATACAGAAACAGGAGGGAGGAGGTCACATTAAACTAGAAATAAAATGTGTAAAAAGTATTGGTGTTGGTGTCAGTATCAGTATCGGCAGCCTGGTTATTACTTGGTATTGGATCATATAGGAATTAAGTGGTATCGCACATCTCTAAAATATAATCTGGCACACAGTATTGGGGTACCACTTGTGTTGGTCACGTGCCACTACTTGCATAAATTGCCTAATTTCCGACAGCGCGTGAACGCGGCGTGCAGACAGATGTCGTCAACTCTCCGCACTCAGATCTGGAAGAGGAGGGATCTAAATCTGAACTCCTGGATCTGACGGACGCTGGCTAACTAGGTGGATATTTCCAAAGATGTACAGAATTCAAGGCAACGGGTCCAACAGACTTAACTTTCTGCCACGCTTCAGTGGTATCTACTCTTTTTCGGACGCGCAGTAGTTAAAAGTAAAGTTATTTTTTTCTCTCCCGGAGAAGACGGAGCTCCTGGGAAGTGAACTCCATCCATGCTTTGCTCGGCGGGGACAAGATCCACGGAGATGTGAGTTTGTTCGGCTAAAAGCGCAACAAGGAGACGTAAAAGTGAGATTACCTAAAGAGGAAGTAAACGTCCTGAGGTGGATTTGTGCCGAAGTTATGAAAATGACCGGCGCCATGGAAACTTCTTTCAAACTGGCTTTGAAGAAACCGCCCTCGCTGCGGACAGCAGAGGTAAACAAAACTATTGTTTCTTTAATTAGCATCGCCTTGCTAATGTTAGCCAAAATAACCAAACTGTTGCTTCACCTCGCTGTAAGAAAACTATAGTCAGTTGCCAGTGGAGTTTGACTGAAATAAGGCAATTAAGTCAAATTTGTTTAATTGGGACTTTTCCACACGGTCACGTGCTAATTAGTTCACACTTGGAAATGAGTTAACAGTCTGTAACTCGAATAAAGCCTCTTAGCTAGCTAGAAGTCCTTCTCAGGTCAAATGCAACCCTAACTTGGTGCCTTGCTAGAGCAGTTGGCTGCGCAATGCAGAAATGACACTCAAATGGAAAAGCCTTGAGTCAAGTAAAAGCATAACGTTCAGGACAAAATGTATCAGAGGCTGTAGTGGTACCTAAACTGGAGGCGCAGGGGCCATACATGGTCTTTGAGAGGGTGTCAGGGGTCCCTATCAAAATGTTTGAGAGTTTTAGGGTAGTGTTATCGTTTTAAGTCAAGAGAGAAACTTCTGTATAAGAAGAGGTTCAAGCCAAGAACTGGTGAGTTCTGGTTCTTTACATGGTTGTGTTTGGGATAACCCTCTTTTACTGCACTGCATTCCCTGCCTGCAAATATAGTCTTACCAAACAAAACACTTCCCATCAGAGGGCTAATGCCTAAGCCCAGGAGATAATTTGTGTAAACCTTAACTTGAATGAGGCCAGTTAAATTTAATCACTGCTGCTTTCTCATTCCCCCCTCCGCCTCCACCCTACACGAAGCTGTGGAAACACAGCTGGCTTGTCATTGCTTAAGTTACACTCTCTGCCCCAAAATAGCTCTGCCGCTGTAACTCCCTTTCCATGTTCAGCTGCTGGTAATAGTTTTGAAGTGCAAGCACCTTTTCAAAGCTCTATCTGAGAACCAAAAAAAAGAGGTTGTTTTAAAAGCCAGCTAGCCTTAAGCTTGCATGACACTTTTGAAAAGGTCCCATTTTATGGCTCTGATCCTCTGTTTGTTTGTGGGTGCAAACTCTGTAGAAAGCCTCTTTCACCCATAGAGGGCTTTTGTGTGCACTTGAACAGCCGCGTTTAGTCCACAAATATAGTATAGATAGTCATAGCATTTGTGGTTTGGTAATCAACCTTGTTATTTCTCCACCCATCGTGTGTGTGTATGCATATATGGTGAACACAAACAAGTTGAAATGTTTCCATGCAATTACTATTCATAATGCTTACTGTTGGGTTGGTATGTTTTTCGAGTGTATGTTGCGGCTCAAATGCTGCTGTTCATGGAATGAGTGCTGTACAAGTACTGCAGATCAATTCCTGTAATTGTAAATACACATCAAACGTGTGACTGGGCTACACCTGAAACAAAAGCCAGAACCCGACCTGGGCCCCGTTTCAGAGCGCGAGATCAGATAATCCCTTGATCAGTAACTCCGGCAACTGATGCTGTAAACCTAACCTTCT